ACCTAACCTAACCTAACCTAACCTAACCTAACCTAACCTAACCTAACCTAACCTAACCTAACCTAACCTAACCTAACCTAACCTAACCTAACCTAACCTAACCTAACCTAACCTAACCTAACCTAACCTAACCTAACCTAACCTAACCTAACCTAAGTCATCCAAGTCAGCCACAAGTCCTTCAGCAGGCAGGTCGACGCCAACACCACCTAACCTAACCCTAGCTTATGGCTATGACGTGAAGACCACGTGATTACATACGTCATCGTCACCTGACACGGTCTAGATGGGTCCGAGTTCTTTGATCCGATCACGGATCATAGAAGTCTTCTCTCGCAAGAAGTTCGGATTAATCTCGAAGGTTTGATAGAAGTGGAAGCGGACGGTGCCTTCGGGATGTCCGTATGACATGCTTCTCCGGCATAGTAGCTTCGGCGAACAACCGGCTGATGGTAGTCAAGCTTCTTTAAACTCTGTTACTAACGGTTGAGTCATCTCTGCTGATTTCGCTTACAAACACGGGCCTATGGCGGGCCGCTTAGCAATCAGTATCACGTCCCTCCAATGAGGACGTGTCATTCTACAAGTCTCCTTAGCAAGTTCTTTCTCAGTCGAGTCCTTGCTGACATCGCGCCTTACTGCGCCCCGGTCGCTCGTTCCTCGCGACGTGCGAACCATGCTGACCAAGCGGATCTGAAGAGCCTATAAATATAGGCGAAACTTGGGGGTGGACGCCATTCCACCCAAGTCATCCAAGTCAGCCACAAGTCCTTCAGCAGGCAGGTCGACGCCAACACCACCTAACCCTAAGAACGACCAGAAACGCTTCCAGGAACATTATTGCAGCCCGCGTTATGATACATTTAGCGGGGCGGCTTGTATCTATGGTGAATCCCAGTGCCAATGCCCCGCGCCTTGCCAGGCCAACAGTCCCGCCCGCCCAAACCCATCCCAATCCACGCAGGCGCAAGGACGTCGCTCTGGGCGGGACGGCGTGGGTCAGACGATGAGGAAATAAACGCAAAGTGAAAGACTCACCAATCCCGAGGACAGGTAGGACGCAGAACCGTCCCCGGCGTCGTCTGACCGGCCTTTTTGCACCTGGGGCAGAACTTATTGACGGGAACGAGAAGGGCGGTGACTTCGTCACGCCTGTTGCAGGGCCATTTGTAGCGCTTGCCCCTACACGCCGCCTTGGCGCTGTTGCACAGGATGAACCTCCCCTGCTCCAGGCGGCCGCACAGGAAGCGCAGCTGCTTGCCTCGACACATCTGGGGCAGGTGAGCACAGCGGCGGCGTCAAACGCGCCTGGGTACGTACTCTGCGATGTCCGCGTTGGATTGCGTTGGGCGTCGGTGAGGTGGTTTGAGAGGCACGGGGGGTGGGCAGCGGGAAATGTCCTCGGCGCTGCGACTCCGGCACACAGGAAGCTGCGGGGACGCGTCGGGAACAAGCACCGCGATGGCGATCAGGAAGGCGCGATCGAGATCAGACCCCGATCGCACCGATCCATTGTCCTGACCCAGGACTCCGGTACTCCCGAGGCACGATGGAGCGCAATCGACGCGCGCATTCTGTGGGCGCGTCGATGGGGCTGCATCGGTCCGACGTCGAAGTGCTCACGCACCGTTGGCGGTGGGCACTTGGGGCGTTGGGTGGCGCGAGCGGGCGTGGGTCGCCGCACGTTCCGAGGCCCTGCACAGAATGCCCGGCGCTCGCATCCGCGATGACGGGCGCTTTCCCAAGCCCAGTCATCGCGGACGTTTCGGGACCAGTGGCTGTGCAACCATTGCCGCCATTGCCGAGCTCTGACTCCGGTGAGCTCAAAAGCGACTCTGGATGTTTCCTATTGGCCCCCCGCTTTGAGCGTGAGGACTCCGCACTGTCATGACGTGTCCGTGACGCTATCTCCGCCTCGTTGCGTACGCTAACCACCGCGCACGTGGCTAGCCTATTGGACCGACGGCGCCTTGGCGCTTAGGGTTTCCTGGACCCACACTATGGGCGCTCATGGTGTCCTGGACCTACAACTAAGGCGACTATGGTGCCTTGAGTGTATGTAGGCGTGTATGATACATGCCCCGGGCATTCCGGGCTCGTTCCAAGTGCACCCATGATCTCCTCGACTGAATCGGAAGGTCTCGCTGGGAGTCCATGATGTCCTGGGCGCACTCTGCAGGTGGCTCTGGGCGCCTACTGTTCCCTGGGCGTCTATTGTACCCTCGCCACCCCTCATTCCGCGGGCGCCTACTGTGCCCTGGGCTCCGTCTGAGGGTTGCGCTGGGCGTCCACGGTGTCCCAAAGACCACGAACTGGCCATGCCGAGATGCTGCCGAG